TCCTGTGGCTCAGTGGTAGAGCATTGCATTAGCAGCGCATAAAGTTGTGGGTTCGATTCCCAGGGAATATACTTACTGGTAAAAAATGTATAGCCTGAATGCACTAGAAGTCGCTTTTAAGCGTTTGCTAAATGCATGAATTATACTTAACATTCTTCTTATCCACATTAACTGAATTCTAAACATTAAATAATCCCTCACCATAATTTCCCTAAATTAAGTGTGTGGGGTGAATCTCTCTTTTTCTATTTTCAATGAAACTTATTGGTTTTAAATGCCATTTCATACATGACAATTGTTTTGCTCTCTTCTCTAGAAACCTTATACAGTGTAAAATGCTCTCACCTGTTGCAGGTAATTGATCAGGCGACACATGAAGTCCCCAAATATCCAGCTAGGAAGAGTGTACAAAGTGGCAGTGAAAGGAACACAGCAAACCAGGAAAAGTATATCTGTGGTGGCAAGATTAACTGAAGAGAAACAAAGATTGTTCACTAAGACAATGTCAAGTAAGTAAATGTGATATTCTGAGAACCAAAGAATCTTTGATACCTATGTAGAAGTTTGTAACAGTTTTCATCTGCTGGTTTTTGACGACTACATAGATGACCAATGAGTTACCCACCAAACCTACAAACATAATGAGGATGAAAAACACTGGCACCAGCCAGGCGTCTGTCAGTGGGATTGGGCTTTGAGATCCCATGGGATCTGATTGATTGCAATCATAAATATTTGCTTCATTATTGCACAGGATAAGTTCTGCAACCTCAGTGGTCCTGTTGCTTTCTGCCATTAGACTTGCATGTGTCACCCTGCTAGGAATAACCTGAAATACACAAAAACATATTCAGCTTTCTTAATAAATATGTTAACCTTCATTATTTGCAGAGTTTGTAAAACATATCACAATTACACATCTCTACTAGCCACATGGTTTTTATAGTTAACATGCATTGCACTGAACGGCTAGCATTTAAATAACTCTTGCAGTATCAATGTTCTGGACAAGTATTTGCACAGTGAGACCAAATGCACCTTTTACAGTCTTTTTACACCCCCATATCATCATGATGAGTAATCAAAGAGATTATTTACTTGTTACACTGTAGAAATCCTGTTATTAATGACATCTAAAAATGTTTTTCATTTGTTTTTAATTAGTTTATACTTAAAACGAGTAACAAAAAATCTGCCTCGACAAAATACATTTGCATCAAACATACATTTGATCAAAACGAGTCTTAATATCTTAATATTTCAAGTCAATTGATCTTTTTTCATGGATTTTTTAAGAAAGAAAGAAAGTGAAAGATATATATAATGTTATATATAAGTAAATATTTAAGTGTCTTATTAAGAAGACATTTTGGTAACACTATTTTATTCTAATAACAGTAAATTATGCATTATTACAAGCAACTATCCCTAAACCAATCCCTAATCCTATAGTAAGTGTAACAATTTCTGAAGTGTACCAGTCATGTTGAACAGTCGAAGTATTAATTACATATGCAAGTCTACAATTTCT